CCCTTCCCTTAGAGCAGTGGTTCTCAACCTGTGGGTCGGGACCCCATTTGGGGTCGAACGACCATGTCACGGGGGTCGCCAAACGAGGCTGTCCACCATTTTTTCCCCCTTTTCTTTGGCCACGCCCCTGGCACCCGGTGATGTATAAGTGGTTGGGGGTCATCACAACATGGGGAACTGTATTATGGGGTCGCGGCATTAGAAAGGTTGAGAACCACTGCCTTAGAGCAGTGTTTCCCAAACTTGACAATTTTAAGGCATGTGGACTTCAACTCCCAGAATTCCACAGCCAGCAATGCTGGCTGTGGAATTCTGGGAGTTGAAGTCCACATGCCTTAAAATTGTCAAGTTTGGGAAACACTGCCTTGGAGGAAAGCTGCTTAGGGCTGAACGTCCCCTGGAAGACTTCCACGCAGGAGTTTAACCTGCCTGCCCCACAAAAGCAGGCAGTTCTTTCAAAGGGTTTTTAAAGAGGGCCAGCTAAACAATCGATTGTATATCCCCGTCTCTGTTCATCGAGCGTTTAAGGCAAATTAGAGGCCGGACAAAACGAAGGGAAGATGTAGTTTTCCCTCCAAGCTGGCAGCTGAGTCAGATGGCCTGGAGGTGAGGCATGAACCGGGCCTCTGCTAAACGTGATTTAATTAACCACGATTTGGGGAACAAGCCATAGCGGACTGGTTCATATTTGTGATAAACATGGTCCACATACTACAAAGGAGGTTGTATTGATGTTAAATTTGATTACAGCCGCGAGGCTGTTAGTTGGACAATATTGGAAGAAGGAATCTTTGCCTACACTGCAGGAATGGTTTCTTAAAGTGTCCTATTTGGCGGAAATGGCAAAGATTTCGGCTTTCTTAAAGCAACAAACGCAAGAGAAGTTTCTTGCCATTTGGGACAAATGGATAAAATTTATACAATTTAGACTGGGTATAAAAAAATATCACATAGTTTTTTCATAAGTTTTATTTTTATATATAGAGAATGTTATATATAGATACTTTTTATATATATATAAATATAAATTTTTTAATTTTAAAAAAAACATGGTCCACATACATTAAAGCACCTTTGGGCTGAATCTGAGCCATCTTGTTGAGGCTGCCTCTCTCTCTGCAGCTGGGCCCATAAGGGGGAGCTGAGGATGAGCAGAGACAACCCCCCCCACCCCCCAGGGGTTTCTTAGCAGCATGCTCCCCTTGGGCCTGCACTGGAGGGGGGGTGTGCCTCTCTTTCAGTGTTTCTCGTCTCCCTGCTCTGCTCCTCCTTGTCCATAGAATCATAGAGTCCTAGCACAGGAAGGGACCTTGGAGGTCTTCTAACACTTCCCCCCCCCCAAGGCAAGAGTCCTTAGACCACCATGGAAGATTTTCCTGCATGCCCCTCTTCATCCCATGCTTTTCCTATTTCCCCCCCCCCCACTTCCTTGTCTCCGCTCAGGTGTCCTGCCTGGTGAGGTCTACAAGCTTCGCTTCCCAGCTGATGAGGTCTCACATCCTCTGTCCACAGACCAGGATTAAACAGTGAGACTTGAACACTGATGATGTTTCCTAGTTGGGTCATGGAACGTCTGCAAGGAGACCACCCAACTCAGAGACCCCCACTGCCCTCCTCCTCCTCCCCCCTGCAACCCCCTTCCAGTTGGGTCATGAAACGTCTGCAAGGAGACCACCCAGCTCAGAGAGCGCCAGGGACACCCTCAGGTCAGCCCTGACCGGCAAAGAGTCTCCTTTATTGGTACTTGAGCAGCAGCATTTCACGAATCTGAAACCTGAGCCTGAGGAGCCTGCACAGCACAGAGGCAGGCGCCTTCTCTCTCTTTCTCTGCGTCTCTCTCTTTTCCGAAGGAGCCCTCCTTAGCTCAGCCCCTTCAGGTAAAGGGTAGAAACACACTTCTAAGGCCATCGGGAGGGGGGGGGAGAGGGAGGTCCTTAGCCACACCATGATTTCTGATTTGCTGGCCAAATTTCCTATGTTCTGTTGGAGGGAGGGAGGGAGGGAGGGAGGGAGGGAAGGAGGGAGGAAGGAGGGGAGGAGAAGGAGGAGGAGGGGCTGCCTATGAGAGCACCTGAGCCGGAGAGCCAGCTGATGCCTTCCCAAAGGTTCTTTTGCAATGAAAACCCGAAAGCATTTGTGGAAGGAAACAGCAGCTGGTTAGTTTGACTTGTTTTCTTTGGAGTCATTTGTGTCCAATTCTTTCCTTCCCTTCTTTTCCCTGCATGTCATTTTCAGCATTAGCCACGGCGCTTAGACTCACCCTGCATGTCGCTCCACAGAGCTCTTACAATACTCTCTGGGCAGTTCATAGAGTCAGCATTATTTGCCCCCACCACCCTGCGTCCTCCTTTGACCGACCTCAGAAGGATGGAAGGCTGAGTCAACCCTGAGCCGGTCAGGATCAAACTCCTGGCAGAGTCAGCCTGCAATGCTGCACTTCAGCCACTGTGTCACCAGGGCTCTTTTTATTTCTCCTAATAAATTCCTTGTATAAAAAGGTTTGGCTTCTTGGGACTTCTAATTCTCGTCCTGTGGGAGAAGGGGGGGGGCGCTTCAAAGCTCTCTCTTCTGCTTCGTAGCTGGCACAAAGTTTATTGACTCCTATACTTCTGGGCTGTGGTGGGGATGGGGGTGGGGATTCAAAGCCCCCTCCTCTGTTGTTCTCCTGGGCTGGGCTGGAAATCTCTCACGAAGAAACGCCAGCTGGGCAGGCAGGGGAAGGAGGCCCAGTGTTGGGAAGCGGCCAGCCAGGCTGGAAGGAGGGGTCAAGCGAGGGGCTAGCCTGGAGTCCTTGCGCAGCTGCAAGCAGCATAAGCTGGATCTTCTACAAGATCCATGAAGCCAAATCTGGTCCTTCCCAGGGGGAGGCAAGCAGAGACCGGGCAGATTCTTGTAACAGAGGCTGTGTCGACCAGAAAGAAGCAGGAGCCCTTGCTGCTGCTTTGGACAACAATCTCGACAATAGTTGAATACATAAAAAGACAGATAAGTGATAGATGGATAGAGAGACAGATGATGGAGTGATAGATAGATGACAGATGGATAATGGAGAGATCAATGATAGATGATAAATAATAGATAAATAATAAATTATAGACAGATAGATGGATGATAGATGACAAATAATAGATAAGTGATAGATGGATAGTTAGATATAGACCAGCGGTTCTCAACCTATGGGTCGCGACCCCATTTGGGGTCGAACGACCATTTTACGGGGGTCGCCAAATAACGCGATCCACCATTTTTCCGCCTCAGGGGGCAGCGCCGCGCATGCGCGGCGCGTCTGTGTGATGGGGGTCGCCATCACACAAAGGTTGAGAACCACAGATATAGACAGATAGTTGATTGATGGATAATAGATAGATGATAAATAATATACATGTAATAGATAGATAAATGAGAGATAGATAGATGCTAGCAAGAAAGAAAGAAAGAAAGAAAGAAAGAAATAGCTAGCTAGTTAGATTTTTCAACCATCTCACAACAATGGCTGGCGACAGGAGGGCTAACGGTGGCTTAACAACACAAACACAACCAGACACCCAAAGGCAACTCAGGAGCACATAAATCACCCATAGATGACAACTCAACCTCACATTCCAATTCAGCCAGGGGGGCCATCATGGGCCAGGAGGCAGACCCCCCCTTCACACCCCAGGGCCTCTTGATTCCACAACCAACACTGACACCTCGATTGGCAAAGAAGAACCACAGCCTCCTGGATCAGAGCCTTAATTTCCCAAAGAAGAAATCCAGCTGAACTGGCTGACTCACACAACACATAAAACCCAGATTAAAAAAAAAGACCCCAAACCCCTGCTCAGATCTCCACTATGCACCTGTACCTCACACTCTTCCCGTTGGAGGGAACAACTCAAAGCAAGAAACAAAAACGAAAGGTAGATGCGTCCCACAATGAAATTAAACACAGGTGTTAAGAGAAGCCATTCCCCCCCCCCTAAATTTCTTTTTCTATTTTGATTTCATATCATGCTTTTCGCTATTTATTCCTCACCCTTGCAAAGCTCAATCTCCCTGGTCATTTGCAGAGGGCCCCATCAGTACTGGTGTCCATGGCTGAACAAGCGGCTTGGATCACTCAAGCCTTCACATCTAGATTTAGTATTTATTTCAGAGGTCTCCAAACATGCCACTTGAAGACTTGTGGACTTCAACTCCCAGAATTCCTCAACCAGCCACGCTCTCCAGGCTGGCTTCCTTCTAAACCAGGGGTAGGCAGCCTTGGCTCTTTTATGACTCATGGACTTCAACTCCCAGAATTCCTGAGCCAGCCACGCTGAGGGGAAAGGGAGAAGTTTCCAAGCTGAGCCATGCTAGCTGAGGAATTCTGGGAGTTGAAGTCCACCAGTCATAAAAGAGCCAAGGTTGCCTACCCCTGGTCTAGGAGGCTCAACGCATAGAACAGGAGGACTTAGGACAGGGGTAGGCAACCCTGGCTCTTTTATGACTCGTGGACTTCAACTCCCAGAATTCCTGAGCCAGCCATGCTGAGGGGAAAGAGAGAGGTTTCCAAGCTGAGCCAGGCTGGCTCAGGAATTCTGGGAATTGAAGTCCACGAGTCATGAAGGGTCCATAGTTCCCTCAAGCTGGCTTAGGAATTCTGGGAGTTGAAGTCCACGAGTCCTAAAAGAGCCAAGGTTGCCTGCCCCTGTTCTAAACCCAAAGCTGTTGCTTTGCTCGGACAACTTTGAATCCTCTTAAGGACATTTCAAACCACCAGCTTGGCTTTAGGAGCTCGTGGTTAAGACCAGTTCCCCCTTCCAAAGCTTCTCATGAAGAAGGCATGAAACCATGCTGATTCTCTCCCCCTCTCTCTCTCTCCCTCTCTCTCTCTCTCACATACACACACAAACACACACACACACACACACACACACACACACACACAAACACACACACACTCAATAGAGTCTGCAAGGCTACCGGTCATTTGGGGGCAGGAGCCCAGCAAATCCCCAGGCCGAGGCTGAGCTCACCTGTGCGAAGTGAAGTTGTCGTAGGAGCCCACGGTGTAATGTCGGAAGAGCCTCTTGGTCCGGTCTTCTCGCGTTTCTGTGGGGAAAGAGCAGCCTTCTTCAGAAACCCGGAAGGAGGAGGGGGCACCTAGCGCCATGCCACCCCACGCCCAGGAGCCCTGTGGAGCTTGGAGCCCGGCTCCCCTTCGCTTGGAGGCAAAGATGCACGAAGACCATCACTCTGGACCCACGGCTTCTCCGAGATGGGGCCAGCTGGCATGGAAATGAGGCTGGGGGAGGCTCCACTGGATCCCCGATGCCCGTTCCACTGGGCACCCAATCACCACTTCATCCCTGCCAGGGGGACAGACAGGGTGCCAACGATACCCTTGGAACCGACTGACCCCACAAAGCTGCCCTCGCTTGCACGTGGGGCTGATCAAGAGCGGCGCAGGCGCTGCACTGCAGACGCAGCAGGCCATTCTGGTTCCCGGCTGGGAAACGGGGCCCAGGTGCGGTTTCTCTGGGGTGAACTTGGGACAGGCTGCAGTGGGGCTCCCCAGAGGCCGGGCCCAGAGGGATCGGAGGGTGACCCTCCCCCAGCAACGCTCTCTGCAGGCTTTCTTTGGTCCCTGAGCAGGCCCACTGCTCTGACTGCCCATTTCACGGCCCCCCTGTCTCTAACAGAGATCAAGGGATAGACTGGGGGGGGGGGCTTCTAACCCTCTTATGTCCAGCAGGCCTGGGGGGCTGGACTCTCAAGCATCTCCAGGAGAGAAGGGTGAAGCTGTGATGCTTCCAGCCAGTCTTGGGATTCTTTCCCCACGTCTGCTGGTCCTTCAGAGAAGGAAGCTCCCCACCGCTTGAACAGAGATCCAGGTCAACGTCTTCCTTGTTCTGCAAGGAAATCTGCCCCTGTCCTCCCACCCCCATGCCCCTCCTTCCCCTGAACCGGTCCAGGCAGGTTCATGCAGCAGGCAACGTGAGAAGCCCCTCTTCTTCTCAAGGGGGCGCCCGCCCTCTCTCCTCGCCCCCCCCAAAGGAGCCCCCAACCTCCAGCTGGTAGCAGCTGGAACGGTGGGCCCTGCAGCAAGATGTCTGCAGACTTTTGGGTACAAGATGGGCGGTGGACAGACAGGCAGAGAGAGTAAAAGTAGATAATAGAGATAGATTATATAGACTATAAATAGATAATAGATAGATAGATGATACAGATAGAAAGATGATAGATAAAATAGATGAGCCGAGGTGGCGCAGCAGTTAAAGTGCAGTACTGCAAGTCACTTCAGCTGACTGTGTTCAGCAGGTCGGCGGTTCAAATCTCACCGGCTCAAGGTTGACTCAGCCTTCCATCCTTCCGGGGAAGGTAAAATGAGGACCCAGATTGTTGGGGGCAATGTAAATATATATATATATATATATATACATTGCTTACTGGTGTACATCGCTTAGAGCAGTGTTTCTCAACCTTGACAATTTTAAGGCATGTGGACTTCAATTCCCAGAATTCCACAGCCAGCATTGCTGGCTGTGGAATTCTGGGAGTTGAAGTCCACATGCCTTAAAATTGTCAAGGTTGAAAAACACTGGCTTAGAGAGTGCTTGCACTTAAAGCGGTATATAAGTCTCATAAATAAAAATAAATAAATATAGAAAGATAAGATAGATAATGATAAGAGATAGGTAATAGAGATCTAGAGAGATGCAGAGAGAGAGAAGGGGGGGGGGAGGCAGGGAAAGATGTCTATGGGGACCCTGTCCTGAGGGCCAGATGTGCTGCTGCAATTGTTCACCAGACCCAACTCTTCCCCAAAAGCCACCAGCCAAGCATGGAGCTGCAGTGCCTGCTCGTGGCCAGCAGAGGGGGCGCTTTCCCATGCCAAAGCAGCAGCTGGGCCCAGGTGGACCCAGTGCAGGACCACCGCAGCAGAGGCAGCTGGGCAGCTGTGGGGCTGCAAGACTCCGGGAGGCAACCCCCTCATCCTGCCTGGAAGCACGGAGTCAGCCCCCCCTCCCCCTCCCAGCAATCTTCCTCCCACAGAGTCCGGCCCTCCAGGCCCCTCCGCAGCCTTTGCACGGCCACCTCCCGCTGCCAAGAACGCGCCACGCCAGCCAGCCGGCGGCTCCTCCCAGCGGGTCAAGGGAGACCTTGGCGAGGAGCCTCCTGGCTGGGCGACGACTCCCCTCTTCTCCAGGCACCCCGATAAAAGCGGACCAACTGCGCAGAGATCGGACATGCCTATGGATCCCTCAGCCCCGTCCTTGGACAATGCTCGGTGGCTCTGGGTCTTACTTAGGGTCTCCGGCAGGGAGGCCCTCCGGTCTTGAAACTCCACAGCGTTGCATCAATTGTGTGTGTGTGTGTGTGTGTCTGTGTATGTGTGTTTGTGGGGGGGGGGAAGTCAGACCCACAAGTATTCTGAGGAGGGGAAGGGTTTCCTATTTGAGCGGGGGCTGGACTAGAGCAGGGCTCCCCAACCGTGACAACTTTAAGACTCGTGGACTTCAACTCCCAGAATTCCTCAGCCAGCTTTGCTGGCTGAGGAATTCTGGGAGTTGAAGTCCACAAGTCTTACAGTGGCCAAGGTTGGGGAGCCCTGGACTAGCAGACCTCCAAGGTGCCTTCCAATTCTGTGGGAAACTGCAAGAAGGAAGGCCTCGGGGTCACGGCCTCAGCAAGCCCAGCGCAACCCACGAGGCCCTGAACCATGAGTCCGGGGTGGCCGCCTGCCTGCCAGGCCCCAGCAGATCCGCTGGCTGGCTGCATGCCGAAACCGCTGGCAGGGCGGAGGGCAAAGACCCTGCAGGGGACCTGTCTGTGCGAAGGAAGCCCCCTCCTCGGTGCCCGTCACATCCGGGGAGGGGGGAGCCTGAGACGGCTGCTCCCGTTTCCCAGCACAGATCTTGCATGGCTGATGGCCGGGATGATGAAATACCAGCTGGGTTCACACCACAAAAAAGCAGGGGGAGGAGAGACCAGCATTCTCCTGACTGTAGTGTCCTTGATGGTCTCTGAGCTTGGCTGTTTGCTGGTAGATGCTTCATTATCTGAAGAGCTAACCTCAGCCGAGGGAGGGAGGGCTTTGCTGCCTCTTACTTAGGCAGAGAAGGAAATGTCTGCAAGCCAGCAGCCAAGCTGAGAGCAGCAAGGACGCCGTTGTTCAACCCCAGCTGCAGAGGTGCTTCTCTGTTGTGCTCGTCTTAGCAAATGCTCTACTCCCCTGAATTCACCTGGAGAGCCCAGATCCGTAAGCAGCAAGGAGCCTTCCGGGCTGAAAGGACGGACGGAGGATCTTCAAGCACACAGACAGAGGAATCAAAGAAGGAGCACGAATAGGCTGACTCAAAGGAAAACCGGGACCGTGTCCACAGGCCTTAGGCAATGGGCCCGATGCTGAGAGGACGCCCACCTGTAGGGCTGCGGGCATCCCCAGGCCACCCTCGGGGGGAAAGGTCTCAGCCAGATGCCGGCAGAGTAGAGGGAGGGGATAAATTTGGGAGAGGCAGGGAGGGGCGAGCCAAAAGGATGGTCTAGTGCAGGGGTAGGCAACCTTGGCTCTTTTATGGCTTGTGGACTTCAACACCAAGTCCTGAACCAGCCATGCTCACTTGGGAATTCTGGGAGTTAAGTCCACAAGTCATAAAAGAGCCAAGGTTGCCTACCCCTGCGTCTAGTTCAGGGCTAGGCAACCTTGGCTCTTTTATGACTGGTGGACCTCAACTCCCAGAATTCCTGAGCCAGCCACGCTGAGGGGAAAGGGAAAGGTTTCCAAGCTGAGCCAGGCTGACTCAGGAATTCTGGGAGTTGAAGTCCACAAGTCATAAAAGCCAAGGTTGCCTATCCCTGCACTAGGCCAAGGCCACTTTATGACTCGTGGACTTCAACTCCCAGAATTCCTGAGCCAGCCATGCTGAGGGGAAAGGGAGAGGTTTCCAAGCTGAACAGGCTGGCTCAGGAATTCTGGGAGTTGAAGTCCACGAGTCTTAAAGTGGCCAAGATTGAGGACCCCTGCTGTAGATAATATTCTAGCGCAAACGTCTCCGAACTTGCAGCTTTAAGACTTTAAAGTTTGGCATCCCCTGTGATAATCCCAGTCTTAAGGCTAAAATCATAAAGTCATTCAAAACCAAAACGACTCCGAAGATAAAAACCCAAAGCTGGAGAAACTCTATAGCATGACATTAGAGTCCATCAAAGATTTAAACTCTACATTTAAAAGTGCTGCCAGACGTCAGTGCAGGGGCAGGCAACCTTGGCTTTTATGACTGGTGGACTTCCAGAATTCCTGAGCCAGCCACGCTGAGGGAAAAGGGAGAAGTTTCCAAACTGAGTCATGCTGGCTCAGGAATTCTGGGAGTTGAAGTCCACCAGTCATAAAAGAGCCAAGGTTGCCTAGCCCTGCGTCTAGTGGTTAAGGAACCATTTTCCGCTTCCGTAGGGCGTCACAGGGAAAATCACAGCTTGCACAGTCCTGTTCTTTGTAGCTGTAGACACATCCCGGCGTCTGGAGATCTTTCCCGAGGCCTCCTGGCCGACTCTGCCAAGCGCTGGCTGCAGCTCCTTTCCTGACTGCTGTGCTTGATCCTCAAAGGCCGTCCACCACTTTGACGTCTTCATTGCCTTCCATCTAAGGCGTGTTGTTCTTTCTGTTGTCAGTAGTTTAGTCTTCCTCCCCAGCATATTTAATTTGAATTAAATTTGTGAAATACAATTACTGCCCACATATGTAATAATTACCTTTCTGTCATCCTGAAGAATACCATTTGCTGGGAGCTTTGATGGGCAGCCTGAGGACAGCTGCAGCCTTGGGAAGCTGCTGAGAGAGACGCCTGCCTTCTGCACCACCAGTCTTCAAGCCTAAGCAGGTTGCAATGGGGGCGCCCAGCCCAGGAGGTCTCAGATGGGGAATTGTGGTGGGTGGGAGTGTGTTTGGGGATGATGTGTGTGGGATCTGGTCTTTGGGTGTCACGTAAATTTCAATGACAATAAAGTTTATTATTGTTAGATGGCGGAAATCCCTGATGCTCTCTTCTCCCAGGCCATCCAGTGGAAGGACATGGCCAAGCCAGGGCCTTTGCTGTCCAAGGCTGTCCCAG